AATACTGTTTATATTGATTTCTTTTACTTTCAGCTATTTTTCTTTGCATTCTGAGGATATTATTTTTGGTTTGCAAAATTCTTCAATATACCGGGTATTAGTTTATATTGTAAATTCATAGCATTGTTATGTTTTTTAATCTGTATCATTTCATGGACTCTTCTCTTATTATAATTACTCTCGTTAATCAGTATTTTTGTGTTATCAAAATCACAATTATGCAACTTCTGTTGTGCATGCTGTGCTAATGCTGTACCATTTTCGTTAATTTTTCTTAGGCTATACTTACGTTCGTATATTCTTTTCTTTAGATATTGTCCTGTTTGACCTATGTATGTGTCATCACAATTCAAACAGTCTATTTTGTAAATTACATTAGGCGTGTCTAACTTGTCAATCCTAGGTTTAATATTTGTGAAACTTTCATTTGCTAAGATGTTTTTAGTTTTCTCTGCTATGTCCATATTATGTGGATTGAATATATTTTTTATTTTTGCGTTAATTTCCGGTGTATATGGTAATGATATATACTTGATATCTCCTTCTATTCTTTTATTTATGTTTTTCCATTTAGTTGAATTGCATATTTTATTTATCCTTTGCTTTATGATTGGTTCGAAAATTGACCTAGGATAGTTGTTTATTAATTATATATTTTTTCAAGATTTTTCGTTCTATTCTCCCAATCTGACAATTTAATGGATCTATCTGTAAGTGCCGTTATTACACTTTTTTATATTTCATTGGAGCGTACGATTGTTAATTCAGATACCTACCAGATCATACCTCCTTTGTGTACCAATTTGTTTTGATTTCCCCGTTGTTATCATAATTAATTGTTAGATCTAGAAAGTTTATAGAATTGCCTTTATCTCCTTCCAGAGTAAACATTAGGGTGTCATAAAATGCATTAAACTTATCCAGTCTATATTGAATTTTGTCTTTTGGCAGGCACATTATGCAGTCATCCACATATGGTTTAAAAAATTCACACCTATAGTTTAATTTAGATATTATTTGTTCTTCCAAATTTTCCATTACCAAATTTGCAATTGTTGCTGCTATGGGAGAACCCATTGCTACTCCATATATCTGTGAATAGAACTTGCTTCCGTACTGAAAATATGTGGATTTTAAACACAATTCTACCGCCTCAATAAATTATTTTTCGGGTAATTTTGTATGTTCTTTTATCTCTTCCCATTTATTTTTTATACAGCTTATTGAGTAATCTATTGGTATATTTGTATATAATGATACAACATCCAGTGATATTATCCGATGATTCTTTGGTATTTTTTGTTGTTTTATAAAATCACAAAAACTCCTTTAATGTCTTTAATGAGTCTTTAATGTAATATTGTGACTTTCCCAATATATTACTCAAAACTGCTGACAGGTATTTAGATAATTGGTACGTTGGAGCATTTATGTTACTAACTATTGGTACTA